GGGTTCAAGTAGATCATCAGGTTGACGGAAACTCGGGGACTGCGCCTACCTGATGAGCCCCAAGAAGGGCGAAACCGGTCGTGGGCTGTCAAAGAGCTTTCAGCAACCTTGTGAGTAGTTTCCTTTATGAATCTTCATTTCTTCTGGGTCAGTCAAGGTGATTCTGACAAAAAGCAGACGGAAAGCTTCTGCATGGTCGGTCACTACGACCACTTGTCCAAGTAATTCGGTTCGATTAACTAAGCGTTGCATATCATCACAATGAGTAAAACCGAGAAAGAAATCGGAGAACCAACAAACGAACACGTTGGCGCATGCAGACATAAATCACTGCATAAGAGAAAGGAGTAACGGAGAGTGATTTTTGGATAGTGGACACGTAATACCTTGCAATGAGAAACGGACGAATTAGTTGTAAAAAACATTTCGACCAGTTGGAGGGAAGAAGTTAGGAATCAGCAAAACAATGTAGGCGAAAGGGATTGGCAGAACCAACATTCTGATCGAAGAATGAAGCATAAACTCTCGAATGGCATGTTGATACCAGCTCCCTATCCGAACATGACTCCAAGGCGCATCCGTAACCGCGCACAAAATGATCCAATACACAAGATTTATCGGGTGGCTGATTATACATTTTGCTAAATAGAGAGATTTTTGTTTCACCGTCACATGTGATACACACGATGTCTTGGCACAATCATTTTGCGCTTATCTTTGCATGGTCAGTGGTTCTGAGTCTCCATTATGTTTCTTTGTCAGTCGTGCCTCAAATGAAATACTGCGACGTGAACAACAGTCATCTATCTGACAGTTGATTTATATTATCACTAAATTCGTAAAATCCGTCCACCTATCTTTCGTATGAGATACTATCATGCCGACTTCAAATAAAATGGGGGAACTACATCTGAGGACCAAATCTACCCACTGTGTTTCCGAAGGCGAAAATTATCTGGTTCGTTTTTGGAGGTATCAACTGAAGAGTTGTTTCCATCATATAACAAGCTCTGTAAGAAAAATCTATATGTAACGGAGTTGGCTCTTCTGTCAGTGAACTTATATTTGCCCCTGTTATGATTTAGGGACCGGGCCTTTGGTCATTACAGCGTGGATAATGAGGCAAGAGTCGGATGCATGCTAATACGAAAACGCCCCTTGACCGAACACAATACTAACAGTCATCTTACTCACAAAATATACAGCACCACTGAATATCACGAGATGATACAAACGCACATCAGGGTGCGCTTTATGTTTATGAACTGAAAAATTTAGTCTGAAACCCTTTTCAGTCATATTCCGTCATCCCGCATCCACAATCTTTTGGAGCTGGTCATAACTTCAGATACTGTGTATAGCGCAAGAAACTGCTTGGCTGAAGCCAGGCATCCCGGTTTATCGCGCACTCTCACAAGCTTAGTGTCGGTGGATATCGTAATTGTTACTATAATCTTCAAATTGTTGGGCATATTTTTTTGGTTTATTGCAGCCAGGCAGATTTATATCTGAAAGTGGAGGGAAGTTTACTTTTGTATCATTCCGTCTGTCTCCGCTGATCTACAAGAATGTCATCCATTAGCTCAATGGTTTCTTTAACAGCGGTCATCAAAACGGCTACATTAGATTTCGTGTGGCTAATTTGGGCGACACGACCATTCACCATTCGTATGCCCGAAGTTGTGATCGGATGACAGCAGATCGATCCCTCTAATCCTCGGTAGGCCACGTGAAATAAGAACCAATCGGAGTCGAGGGGTAGGCTTGCGGTCAGGTGACTAACATAGCCTGCGTGTGGACCGGTTCGGCGTTAGACACGGTAGATAGTTTATCCCCGGACTACAGATGAAGCTATAAGCATTGTTCTGTTTTGTTCGAATATAACACCGCAAACGAGCAAAAAGCCACTGGTGAATCACATAGTCCTAAGAAAGGTATGTTTTAATTATGTGAAATTGGTGGCCCAGCTCAATCAGTAATTCTGTATTTCTACTGTGGTTTATTGGACTGTTTTCTCCATAATCGATATACCTCACTTTTACCCATTATTGCAGCAACTTGCGTCAGTAAACGTGATAATACTTTGGTAGACTGTCACACAAGAAATGTAAATCTGTACGAATCCATGCTATTCCTCAAGTGTACATGCATTATTCGTAAAATAGGGTCAGCTCCACTCCGCTACCGAGGTATTTCATTAATTTGAGCCCAGAGCTTCGGATCGTTCTTGACCATCAAGTTCGCTAGAATTTTGGAACTGTCAAACAAATTACACTCAGCTGCCGAAGACCATGTCGCAGCGAGGTGCATTTGGCACACGTGTCCGCAAATCCTGGTCATCACCTAGCCACACTACGCAGCTATGTGCATCTATGCGTTGTCATGAGTTTACCTCCAACACGTCACTTCTTCGGCAAAAAAATACGACTGAAGAAGCAGAGAAATTGGCCGTTCGCTAAGGCCATTTAAGGATATTCACCTCAGTCCAGCTGCAGAGTTAAATATGGTTTTAGTCGTTAAAGTTCAGTTTGTGACGTTGCTCGAAGAAGCAAAGAATACAACGTTTACGCTCGAAAGCAAAAATGGATACATTTTTGTTTACACCGAGGAATTAGGGTTTTTCTATGTGCGGTTGGGTTGCACGTCGATGAACCTTACCGTAATAGACGCAGTACACTACTCATAAGGTTGTTGAAAACTCTTCGACAGCCCACGACCCAAAATGATATGCAAACGAGTGTATTTGTCCAAATCTTTCCAATTTGGGTTCAAGTATAATATAAGGTTAACGGGAACTCGGGCACTGCGTCTACAGGATGAGTCTCGAGAAGAGCGAAACCGGTCGTGGGCTATTGGAGAGTATTCAACAGCCTCATGAATAGTGTACTACGTCTACACAATGTACAGCAATATCCCGAATACCGTACCAGCTGAAATATGAGGCGGCCCGGTGCCGCACAGTCAATCGCCTAAGAACATCGTAAACGAAAGATTCAGATGAAGTCCAGGTGGGTCACCCGTCAAAACCAAACGAGTGTATTTGTTGAAACCCTAGAGTTAATGTTTGGAAAATTTGGATATTGTATAAATGCTTGACCAAAAAGACATTTATTCGAATAGTAACTTTGGCTTGTGTGGCAGAGTCACTGCAGGTTTGCGCGTACGATATCCCGCAAAATTCATGACCAGGTATCAGGCTGACTATCGCCAGAACGCGCAACCCAACCTCAGATGAACGGCTGGCAAGTTGACTTATGGGCTTTTGTAGTGAAGTGTATGTGTAGCCAACTGCTGCCGTGCACTACTGAAAGAATTCAAACTGTCGTCTTGTTTATTGCGATGCGACAACTCATCATTAAAAGCCTTATACGAAGTAATCGCAACATCCATTATTCGATTTCACAGTATGTCTCTCGGGGCTATCGATCATCTACTTCAAGCTATGTGATCTTCCTCATTTTGCCCTCCAAATCGATCTTTCCGTTAAATATCACGCCGTAAACAGTAAAATGACTGCGGAAAGCAAAATGTCACAACCTGCTTTGATAAGAATGCAGTTCATATTCCTTCCCCTTCTGAAGAAAGAAGTGTTTACTCTGAATGGCGACGGTTTGGGACAATCTTGGGTTTCCATACTCATCGCTAATTTCCCCGCTAATTTCAAAAAACCTATAAATGCAAATAAATCATCGAAAAGTTATTAAATTTTCTGATTTCTGGAAAAAGCTCCGTGTTTCGGGAAGCAGTAGAGTAAAGAAAGTCAAAAATTTTCCGGTCAGTTCTTCGTCTCCTTGGCTTCTTTTCCCGGCCCAACATGAAAATTAGCCAGACCGGAAAAAAATAGCTTTTCAGAAGGGAAAAGTCTTCAGAGCGAAAGGGTAGGGTAAATTAGTACGAATACTGTAGTATTAGACACCACATTAATCAGATGGGAATTTTTTGTCTTTATTTTTTTATCAATCTTCGAAGTGCTGCCAAAATTTGATGCCCATAGGACTCACTGATTAGTAATTATCGACATTTGTAAAAAAAACAGTTAACGCTGTTCGAATCTGACCTTCACCAATATTTCTCTACGTAACTACGGCACCCTTCAGTGGTAGCGTTCGGTCCTAACGATGTTTGCTGCTGGACCAAATTAGTTTGGCAACACTGGTGGCTGGTTGTCCCACGTCTTCCCAGGAAAACATGGTATGTCTGCCTGGCCGGCTGTAGCGAGACGAAGAAGCCTGCGGGTAACGCGATTAGGAGGGCGATCATAGAAAAATTGATGGGCATTTTGGCACAGGTCGCCCTGATCTGTGAAAACGCTGAATATGACACAAAATATTACGCAAAAATTCAACTCCAAACATGTATTGATGGCATGTTTGCTGGAAAAAGGGTTCAAACATTACGGGAAAAGGCTGCAAGGCTATGAGATAATGGCCTGTTTGCCGCAATATACTAAAAGTTCAAGTTTATTAGAACGTACTCGCGATCAGTGTTGACCGCGGACTTACTGTGATGTTACAATGCTTAAGAAGAAGTGAATCCTCACGGCAGTTTGAGTTTTTGGATCTTTGAGTTGGTATGAACGCAAACATAAGGCAGCTTCTCCTTTTATCATCACGCGTGCACATAAGAATGACGATTTCGAAACCAGGAAAAAATTTATTCGCAACTCACTCTGTGAAGACCTTTGTAGCAAAATTATCATAATTTTGGAATTCCATATGTCTCAAGGTGACAAAAACACTACAGCTAACCGCACTGTTGGTTTGTTCGAAGCGTTATGGTTTTGCCAGAAATTCCTTCGATTAATAATTGTTGAGCTGAGGGAACATAAGTCACAGGAGTCTACATAAAGGTGTTTGTGTCTTTAGCTCTTGTTTCCAAAGTCGCACAACAGCGATCATCACTTGGATGATGGAATTTGCACAGTCAACGCTGATCACTTTCTAAGGTAATCACCCACATGGATGCTCAGATTTGTGTGTGTGTAGAAGCAGTGTTCTACAGCAGCGATGCCTAGAACTGTAGACTATGTTTATTTTCTCATTTAAGGGAAGATAAAACTAAACCTAAGTGATATGCCCCATTTGACATGTCTGTGGTGCTTTCCTACTTATCTCGGAGGACACGTTTGTTCTTCGAATCACCAAGTCCCTGCGATCCAATTCACAAGGATGACAGATGACATAGGCCCGAGGTGTTGTTTGATTATTTGCTTGCTGTCATTACACTTAAACTTAAACCGGGTGACATCCTAATGAGTCTGACTAAATTGCGTAAAGTTAACTTACAAAGCCGGGTTGAGGTAAATGGCGTGTGGACATTTTGAATGTACGTACGAAAAATTTGCTGACTTATTTCGTGAAGCGGAACCTCAATGAATGCAAACTTCCTGGGAATTTTGTTTGTGCGAATGATGATGGTAGATGACCCATTGTATTCAATTTGAAACATGCATGAAACATGGAATGCGCTCGTTTGATAAACTCACAGTCACTCAGTAATCTCATTTTCGCAATGAATTGGTTTTACTGGAAGGCTCAACTGAATCCAGCTGAGTCGCCTGTTTATGATGTTCTTCGTCAACGGGATGTGCGTCTCAAGACCGCCTCACATTTCAATTGGTACAATATTGGATATGTCACAACCGAATGCCCAGATGTAACACACTATTCATAAGATTGTTGATACCCCTTCGGCAGCTTTCGACTGGTTTTTCCCTTCTCAGGGCCCATCAGGTAGGGGCGGTCCTCGAGGTTCAATCAATCTCATGTCGAACCTCAACCCATATCGGATGGTAGTTGGCAAATACTCTAATTTGGTTTTGACGGGAGACTACATAATCCAGCCTCAGTTGAATTTGCTGCACAAGGCCGCTTCACGTTTCAGTTGGGACGATCTTTAAGATATCATGAAACTGGTTGCAGGCTGTCGAAGAGTTTCATCAACCTTTGCGTAGTGTGCTACGTCTAAGCTCCCAGAAGTGCTGAGGCAGGTGATTCAATCTTGGTTTTCTGTATCTGGGCCACCTAGCTGATTTCTAGCACAAAATTCCTTAGGTGGTTTGATTTTCTTCCCCGTTTCTCGATTTATCAGTACTCGATCAATTAATTATCAGGTGGTGAAGGAATTGTGTACGAGATTTACGTTTGATGCAGATGCATTTGCGTTACAAATGACTATTATCCCCTAGTTCGGTCACGGCAAAACTTGTTCTGACAAATAAACTGTTTCAAACTGCTTCTCAACGACGTCTACTTCGTTTGAAGTACGTGTATAAAAACCGCTAACTTGAGGAATAAGCGTATCCGAAGGAAGATGCGGTGACTAGCCGTGTCCACCATCATTGATGTCATCCAATCTTGAAATAGAGCACTAGGGTAAAAAAACAAATTACTGTTTGTAACTTTTACAAAATTAATTTTCTCTCTATTTGGACAACTGTCTTTTGTGTGTTCATACAAGATAAGGTAAAAATGGCTCTACTTCGGATTGGCAACTCCGAGCAGCATAACCAGAAATTGGAGGGCGTCTATGCGGAGAGTATCAAATAAAGGCACTTGCCTTTCGTAAAAACCGATTCATAAGTCACAAACATAAACCCTGTCGAATATTGAAAAATATCACAAGGGACAGAATGACGTTTCAACTATAAGCAAAACATGAAACATGTATAGCGCAACACACTACTCATAAGGATGCTGGCAACTCTTCGAGAGCCAACGGCCGGCTTCACTCTTCCTTCCAGCAACTTTTTGAGTAATGTATTAATTCTGTACAGTGTATCGCGATATATCGAATAGTGCACCAACTAAAACATGAGGCAGTCTGGTGCAGCTCATTCAGTCGCTTAGAAACGTTACAAATGAGAAATTCTACTGGGTTTTGATAGAGTTTCCTAGCAATACGAAATTGGTATACAGGTGAGTGTTTTTCGCTA